TCCGCACCGCTGATCTACGCTCACTATGAACGTCAAAGGTTAGCCAAGGGACCTCCACGACCTGCCCCTCCCACCCGGACTGTGGTCCCTCCCTCGGACACACAGCTTCGCCCTCGCATTTAAGCTCGGTTTTTCAAGGAGGGGGGGGTGTGGCATACTGCGTAGCCACACGGGCCCTGCAGGGCCCGTCCCAGACATTCAGCCTAAAAGCCTAAAACTTAGGGCTTACAGGCCCTGTTCGTTTCAGCCTGGATGCTGAAAAACGAGGGCCTGCAGGCCCTACCCCGTGAGGAACAGGCTATTCTTGGCCTGTTCCGCATCCCTGTCTACGTGCCTGAGTCTTAGGGGCAGGTCGAAACAATGAGGGCCTGAAAATGGCCCTCCGTTTCAGGCTAAAAACTCTGGGTATGAAAAAAACCAGAAATAGGCTGAAATGGGGTAGGGCCTGCAGGCCCTCGATTTTTAACTTCCAGGCTGAAACGAACGGGGCCTGTAAGCCCTACGTTTTAGGCTTTTAAGCTGAATGTCCGGGACGGGCCCTGCAGGGCCCGTGTGGCTACGCAGTATGCCACCCCCCCCCCCTCTTTGAATAATCGAGCTTACCTGCGAAGGCGAAGCTGTCTGTCTGAGGGAGGGACCACAGTCCGGGTGGGAAGGGCTGGTCGTGAGGCTTCCTGAGCTAACCTCCGCTTTTCATAATGCGCGTAGATCAGCGGTGCGGATGCTATCAAATCTGGGCCTGAAATCCACCGAGTGTCGTCGCGATCGCGTGCTTTGAATGTGACTTTGTACTGCCGCGGCTTGTTGCTGTACTTGCGATCGGAGATGACGCGGTCAACTTCCTGATGGCCATCCATAGAAGGAGGGTCCTGCGATCGTCGGTCCGGAAAGTCGTCGCTCTTGGCTGGCGTGTATGTTGCCAGCTTCGAGGCGTGGAAGACCAGATGGACCGTCAGATGCTCTAGAATGTTGATCACAAATGAAGGGCCATCAGGCTCATCGCCCGCGGTTGTTGTCACAGACCAAGGTCCAAACCACTTGGGAAGCAGTTTGCGTGAAACATCTTGTTCCCGTGCAAACTCTTCCGAGGAGACCCAAACCAGATCACCGACGCGGATGGGACATGGTACGCGACGCCTGTTGGCTTGCTGCTGCATGCGGACTTGAGCCTTTTGCATATTTGCGCGGGCTTGAGTCAGCAATTCCCTGTACTTCCGGACGGAAGCGGGAGAGCAGGCAGCGTCAATGTCGGCTGGTCGAGGGAGGAGAAGGTCGGTGAAGATCCGGCCTTTCCGTCCACCGTGGTGCAACTCGAATGGAGT